TTAATTAATACGTGAGAAACACAAACACACAAAACTTCTTATGACTGATGAAGCCGAACTCTGAGATGTTCTTTCCTTAAACACCAGACCTAACGTTAGGGCTCATGGTTGAGCTCTGATGCTTTTATTGACACACAGGAAGCAATCATTGATATTTTTCTTACTTTCTGATATCAAAATATAATTTCTTGATATCAGGAATTCGAATTTTTGATATAAAAAAAAAATCATTTTTTGATATCAGAAAATGTATTTCTTGATATCAAATAATCGTCAGTATTAATTGATATCAGAAAATCTATTTTTGATATCATAAAATGGATTTCTTGATATCAAAAAATGATTTTTTGATATAAAAAAATCGAATTTCTGATATCAAGAAATAAAGATTATTTTCTGATATCAAGAAATCGAATTCCTGATATAAAAAAGGGATTTTTTGATATAAAAAAATTCACTCGATTCCTGATATCAAGAAACATTTTTTGATATCAGAAAATAAGGAATAAATAGTAAAACAGTGCCTCACACACCTGTTTATAGTGTTCGTTTTGAACATGTTTTATGTATTAGCATTCACTCAACACGTGTATAGAATTTCGTAATCCATATTGGCATTCGAAGTCGGTGATTTGCTGACGACCGAAATCGACGAGCTTTGGATAACGGTAAACCATCGAGTTAGAGTTCGAGTTAATGTTACTTAGGATCCTCCCGCTATTTATTTAAATGCAATATATCAACATGAAAGGTAAATATCCGCATATTTTCAAATGATCATACAAGCCAGAGACATATGTGTATATATGTCTCTGTACAAGCAGATAAAATCGGAGAACTTGTATTATAGTATAGTATAGTATAGTATAGTATCGTTGTTTTGTCCCTATGCCAGATTCCCCCCGTTATCCTGTGAAAAAAATCTATTGATAGTAATCTGAACGTGATTAGATTAGAAGCTTCTTTGTAACAGTAAAGTACAGGTCGGTTGGGGTTTAACAATAACACTGATTCCATTTAAGAGCTATGCCCGTTGAAAATTGGTAAACCTTCATATTTTTGTTCGTAGACTTCTATCAAAAAATCTGGAGAAGTGTAAATATTTCATTTGATTAGTAACACTCGTGAAATAGTGTATACTTTTCTTGACTGAGTTTTCGAACTGTCAAATAATAATGTTAAGAATAACTTAATATTGAATATTGCTTAAATTTTGGGTACAATTATTTATTCGTGCTTATAATAAAAAGTAATAAATTCTCAGTTATCCTCTCTGTAAATTGAAAATCACTTGTATTGAACTATTGATTGTTGTTCAGTTTTGTTTTCTGTTTCGGTTTTATAACCCGATCACGACAGTATGGAGTATTATTTCTACGGTTTGTACGTGTGTGCGTGCGTCCGTCCGTTCGTCCGTTTGTCTGTCATTCCTTCCGCTCATCCGTCCGTCCTCCCTGTATCAGATTAAGGTTTTGATTTGAAAAAGTTAACAAATTTTGGTGTTCTTGCCATTAACATTGAATTATAACACATTGATTCCTCATTTATAAACCGTTTTCTCAACCGTTACTTCCAATACATTTAATATCCTTTTGTCGGTCAACTGTTTGACTTACAGTATCCCTAGTATATACCCCATGCAGAGTAAACTAAAACAACTGCCGTCGGGGCAAATACCCATGTTCAAAAATCTCAATGAAGTGGAACATCAAGGCATCCATATGCTCATCTGTATATAAGATACAACATTATACAAAAGAATTATGCACTTGCAATTTACAATGCAAAATATCTTGCTATGACCAAGATATGCGTTGAAGCAAATAAAAAGGAAGTTATTCTGATAAAAAAAAAATCAAACGACATTTTGCCACTGCTTTCAGAGTCGGACAAGATGTGATTTTATTTAAAAGACATAATAAGGGAATCTCGATGAACCCGTCATCCTTTACCCTTAATAGAAGGATGAATTAATTAGTAATGTCCCGAGTGTCAAATATTACATTCATATTAGGACGAGAACATATTTATGTTATTTAAGAATTGAATGCTTCTTTTTGTAAATTTATTGGGGTGTAAAAGCGTTGACCGAAGTACATTTTGTATGAACGCTTTTACAACCCTTTAAAATTACTAAAAGAAGCATTCAATACTTATAATAACACAGTTTTTTTGCTAGGATCATGAAAATACGATTTATGTCAAGTTTTTCTTTTATTTACCTGTGCACTTTATTGTGGAAGCTCGTGTCATTATGAATGTTACATTTCATTTTGAAATGAAAGTTAATGATTTCAGAATGACGCGAGATTGCTGTTAGCCAATCAAAATACCGTATTATACTGAAACATACATGTAATGTAACTATATGAATATGAACCCCACACAATGCTTTGTACTGAACTGACACGCTGAGTCGGATCTTTAAACTGTCAGATGGGAAACATGTCATTCTACCTGCACACATTATTCTGACTACTTGTCGACCAGTCTTTGCTCGTACTCCTAAATGCCATCTTCTTAGCGGAAACGCAGCAAATATCAATTTTGAAGTCTTTGGTTTGACACGCGCAGAGCACACCAACAGCCAAAGGGGCCATCACCACTCAAAGGAGTCTTCAATATATGCAAGATCGTTTGTAATGAAATAAACGCAGCAAAATATCCTTCATATATTTAAGTTATCGTACAATATCTTATGTTTACATACGTTTTGAAGCTTCATTATAAGTTGAACTTGAGGTATTGCGCTATTGCTCACGAAAAGGATACCGTCGCCCGTAACAAAGTATATTATTTGCTACGGGAATTCGTAATATGACAAAAGAGAACCATTAACGAGGTACTTTTCTTGTGTTCATGTGGTTTAATAAGTTTCTAAAGATAGACAGGATAATCATATATGTAGATTATACTATTTCTAATAGAATCATTATAGTTGCCATCCTTTCCTATATTTAGTATTGAGGCTCATATATCCTATTCTAGTTTTAATTTTGATTCTGTTTTAATGAAACATGAGGGTGGTAAAGGGGGGGGGTCTGAACACGGAAACACTTGAAATAAAAATCGCAAAAACGTTGCACGGAAAATAAAAATCGGGAAAAACGAAGCACGAGAAATAAAATCGTAAATATTAAGGAAAAAGGTACTAGAAGTTATTACTCAACCGTCCATAGTGATCATGCAGTCATTATTAATGGACATGAAGACCCTGCGGTCACCTTTTAGCGTCCGCTAGTTGAATTTGATTTGAAAAAATATTATTCATAGTAATTTGATGGACTTTATTACATACCATACATATACAATAGAATTGCAAAAGTAGAATGGTAACAGTATACATCAAGTTCTGTTAGATTACACAAGTTTTACCTTTTAGTGAAATGCGGTGCAAGCACGAGAAATTAAGAGTTCCGACACGAAACACGGAACATAAATAAGGGGAAACACGAAGCACGCACATCGAACCAAACACGAGAAAACGAGAAATAAAACGTCAAAACACGATAACAAGTAAAATAAAAAGGCCGAAAACGTTGCACGAAAATAATCCTTTACCACCCTCAAACATCGTTTGCGTCTCAAACTGTATTTCTAACAAGAAATTTAACCCTAGCCCCAATTAAAATTCTTACTCGAAACTTCATCATTTGGTATTGCGCGTAAAGGATGATAGTTTTATCGAAGTTCTGGATCTGCGATTGAAATACGACCTCAAGTTAAAAAACTCGAATTCTACCTCGAATTTTAACTCTTACTTTAATAACTCGAACTATAGAAGTTTGATTCGAACTGTAACTCGAAACGCAACTTAAGCTCGAATTCAAAGCTTAACTCCAACTTAAGACTCGAACTTCAAATCAAACTCGAAATCTATGGTTAGCTAGAATCGAAATCGACGGGGGCCACGCAAACAAAAATTAGTCTTACTATTCGAAATAGGGATACTAAATATGAAGTTAATATCCCTTAGTTGAGGCGATCTTCAAGGGCTATGGCGTTTTCTTTCTGTTTGTTCTCTTTAACAGTTTGTGTCTGCTTAGAAGTTAATGTACGTTAGCTGTTTAACCAACTGACCGGTGCAGAAACTGTTTACCCATCAGGGGCACTAAAGTTTATACTGAGTTTTGTTTAAGTGTTTGTATTTTTAATGTCGTGCTGTTTTTCTGTGTAATAATCTTGTCTTATTCTTTGTCCTAAAAACTGCATTGTAATTTCACACTTTCATATCATGTCAAGTTTCAGGGTTAGAAAATTGACATGATCGTTTGTTTATGAATTAACGGTAATGTCTTAGGTTTAGAAAACAGACACATGCAAACCCGCTGTCATACAGTGCGTAATCACCAGTGACCTAATATACGTATTTTTTCTTCAAACCATGAGTGACACGATGGGTGTCACAGGTGGAACAGGAACTGGTGACCCTTCTTATGTCCCTTAGTTCGTTCCCGGTTTAATGCTGGGTTTATAATGCTCAATCTTTTGTTTTATAGATTATTGTTTGTCTCTTCGTCTTGAAGTGTTCGTATTTTGCTTTTGACTATGTTATTTTATATTTTCCAGCGACAAATTAATAGAATAGAGCAAAGTGAAAGAACTTATCCTAATTAAAACGATTGCAGGTGCTGCTGGAATGTTTCTACTTAAAACATTAAAGTCGCATTTGAATCATCACTTTTGTCATAGACGATTTTGGTTGTTTTGTTTAGGTCCATCAGGTTTTTATATCGTAAATGTTTAATGTATATAAAATGGCTTCCTAAACATCTAAATTGTTTGTTTTGGTGACAAATTTTGTACGCACTTAGTTTTGTTCTATTCATTTATATTCTGCGTAAATTTGAGTTTTACTTAAATACTTTCACCAGCATCTGATGACTGACCAAATTCGAAAATAACATATTTTGGTTCCTTACTGTTATTTTTAATAAATGTCAAATGTAATATGTGATAATAAAGTTACTTCTGAATTAAGAAATAAAACAGAAATGATATTTGTTAAAATATAAAAAAGTGCTTTATTGAAACCTAAGAGAGACAGAAACACAGACCTGCTGCGATACATCAAGTGACTTAACAGAAAAACGTAGTTATAAATCTAATTAGTTCCAATCTATACTCTCCCCGTCATCTTGATACGTCTCAATTACATCATCATCATCTACGCCATAGCCTGTTGTCGCAGACCTAGGGTTTGATTGCGGCTGAGATGACCTAAATGTACTTAACGGATTTGATTCTGTGTCGGGTTTAATACTTCTAGAAAAATCACTATGATAACCAATATCATCAGCAGTGTCTTCACGATTTTGTCTGTTAATGGTGTTAATTCTTTCCCTTTGCGAACTACTGTTGTGCGAGTTCATACTTCCCATGTAACTATCTGGTGTCTCACTGGTTGAATGTGTTCTTGCTTGGGTATTCGGTTGTACATTCTGAAACCTTCCACCAGAAAATCGTAGTTCGCTGTTTACATTTTCATTTTGATAACTCGTAGATGCTTTATTTGTGTTATCCTCCACAACCGATATTGATGTGTTCTTTTTTACATCTGTTGTGCCGGTGGATTGATGTTCTAATGACCCTTTTCTGTCGTCGAGTTCAGGCCAGTCATTTCTTTTTGGTTGAAGATTACTCGACTTATTGTTTATATCACTGTGTGCACTGGTTATATGTGCGTTGTTATTGCTACTCTGTTTTGAAAGCTCAATTTCTTGAAATGCATTTTTTTTCTTTTTTTCCGGGGATGTAATGGATTTTCGTTGAGTATTTCCTGCAATAGAAAAAACGTAAAATGGTGTGCATTTATTCAAAATATCAGGTCGTATAAAAAATATAAATTTCGTATAAACAGAATCGTCGATTTCTAACGTATTTAAAAAATCCTGCTATCCTATATTACGTATCTTTGATTGTCCAGCACTGAATGTAAAATAGACTGAACAATTATTGTCCTCATCACCATAAGTTTAAGTTGTGCCCGAGTTACCTTTTAGCCTTTTTTTGTCTTGTTTATGTTTTTGCTTTTGTTATTTTTGTTTTACACCTATAAGATACTTTTAACTTCTTTTGAGCTATATTGGCTATACGACTTAAGCTTGGTAGTGCCCGGATGATTTACCTGCATCATTGTGGTGCACATTGGATTCCCCTGCACACAACAGCACCAACGATATCAAAATTAAAACAGACAGAATACTAATCACAACAACTGATATCGTGTTGTCGGCTATAGCATACTCATCGCCACCGACATCTACTGCTGATACTCCTAGAAAAGATAGTCAAAATGATGAAAATTAGATTGAAGGATGTCCTAAAAGCGTATGGGTATATTAAATTTAATGTTTTAATCTTGGATTATTGGCTTTATTCTCGTGTTCAAATTGTTTATGCCTTCAGGGGTCACATGAATGGAAAAAAAAACCCACAACATTGAACAATCATCATCGTCTTCTTCTATATAGCCAACTTTGGCTGGGAAAAACATTCGTCACTAACGTTTGCCACAATCAATCGGATAGTTATAACATTTGCATAATGATATCCTTTAATAAAACACACATAAATTATGAAGACTCTTCTACATATTTGGTCGATAGATATATATGTACTTTAAACACACAGATATAATATAAACACTCGATTATCTTGAAATATCAACATGGTAACAAGATTAAGGTACTTAAAAAAATTGATGTACGGTCATTTTTGCAGAAAGATTTCAGATTTATGTACAAAAAGGGTGAACAAACAGAAAAAGCGAAAAAGAAACGAAATTTGCGGATTTTTGTCTGGCTTATTCAAAGTTCGATCAGTATATCACACTAATTTACTTTTGAAAGTTCTTACCAGACCCAAGCACAATAAATCCACAAAAAGCAAGTAAAAGGGTAGTTCTGTCATACATTTCCACTGGAAACCATTACTTTGTCAATATTTTGTGCATTTTAAATGACGATTGATTTTTCTCTCTATGTTACACAACTGTACGTTAAACCATTTAAAGAATGAAGATTAAAGGCAGCCAATTCAATAGTCTATACATGTAGGTACATAAAAATGTTTAAACGGTATGTGTGGTAGGTATACACTCGTTATAACATTGATAAACAATAGTTGACTGTATATATATGGTAATACGAAATTTAAATTAGAGAGAAAATTTACCGGACTTAAATTGTGGTACATCTTCTCTGGGAAGAGGATATATCCCAAATCTTCCTTCAATAAAAGTCAAGTCTTCAACAAAAGAATTGCACAATTTATAGTGTCCGCAAAAGACATTTGTCTCGTACTTCCATCAGTTTTTATCATGAATCAATTCGGGTTTATATCAATTTTAGGATTCCGCAAAATAAACTAAAGTGATATCTATATATTAAGCTATAGGCACAGCCTTGTAACATGGCGAGAAATTCCAGTTGCAGTAGACGTAAAAAGGTAATAGTCAAATAACTATAAGATAAAGTCAAATAAAAGATGAACATGCACTAAAACGGGACTCGCACTAAAGCAAGTGGGTGTTGATCTTTTACAATAATACTGTTTAACACTCTCCAATCGACACAGATGTGGTGTATGTCACCTCTTCCTTTTAGATCATCATCGAAAATAACCACTTAAATTTTGTAGGTCCTGTGATGAGGAAAGCGTATTCTCGTATTTAGAGAGTAATACGATCAATTTCATCTCATATCAATGAACAAGTTTTAGCTTTAACTTATATGGATTCGTATAAGTAAACGGATATATATGTAAACTCAGAGTATTTTTTTATGTAATTAAATGGTTGCTTTCCCAAAATAAAACACAAATATATTTTCCTTCCTGAAAGAATCCATGGATGAGAGTTAACATGAATAAAATGCGGTATATATGTCGTTTTCAAGTTATCATTTGGTAAAAATTATAATTTGTATTATATACTTTGTACAAATTGTAGTTTGTCCAAATTACTAATTGTTGAAAATTTGACTAAAATTCACTTATAACTTGTACCATAATTTATAATATGTATTTGTTAAAAAAAATGATTGATACACAATATAGAATTTTATTTGACCACACAAAAAAAAATAAAAAACTAGTTCTGTATCATTTGTTTGAGCATGTGAGTGAAATATGGCATCGGGAATTGTACGCTGACATCTTTTGATGTCTACATTTACATTAACAAGTGCTGCATTTGAATGAAAGAGACGCCTGACCACCAGTTTTTGTAAACTTTTTAACTGCTTCAGGCAGCAAAAGTTAAAGCCCAGGAACCGCTGCTGCGAATAAACATGTGTCTTTAACAGCTTCGATTTGACTGATTTCTAGACAAATACCCTGTTTAAATTCCTACAGCTGTTCCAATGCGATACCCATAAATCCAGATACAACAATTACGCTTAAGTTGGGTCACGATCATACTGAGGAATAGGTATGATGACATTATCCCCCACAGCAAGTTTTGATAGTTTTCGTTTTGTTTTCTTGGTAAGATATTCGGATGCAATCTGTTGGCCAGACAGCGCACGCTTCCTGGCACGTATGATCGGTGTTTTAATGCCATGCAGTGTCATCCTGGTTGTCACTGGGACCAATGTCTATTGTAATATCAGAATTAACAGGCATATATGTATCAATTACATTTCCTGTCTCCGTCTGGGTATATTATTCTGATCATGGAAGTAGTATATTGTCAATATAATACTTCCATGTTAAATTCTGATTCAGTCGATTCAGTTTCTGTTTCTGTATTATCATCAGGATCATCTACTTCTCTAATTCTAATAATGAAAAGTAAATTTCTCAATAATAAAAAAACAATACTAAGAGACAACGGGATAGCTGACACAGAACCACTAAACGGTTCCGCAACTTGCAAGGAAGCTATTGAAACATCGGGTCTTCACGGAAAGACGAAGTCATCTCCTCGAAAGTTTTGTAGACACCACCATGACTTGGCCCTTGGCGTTATGGAATATCAGACTGTATCGCAGATGTATGACTACGAATATATTGCATATGTTGTAGCACCAATTTCGTTCTCTTTTCCTCTCTTGTGACATTGCCAGATACTATTTATCATCATATATTTGTATAACGTAGTGGCACAGGAATTTCTTATCCGGAGCACTTGAATTCATCCCTGTTTTAAAGGGGTTCGTGTTGCCCAGTATTTGATTTTCTGTGTAATGTTTTGGAATGTTGATACGTTAGTCGATCGTCTATTTTTCCTTTGGCAATGGTCATGGTGATGTTGTCTCTCTTTCACAGACTTATTTGTTTATTGCCTCTTGGTGTATTCTTACTTTTTAGGGGCGGACAGGGACATTTATTTATATCTATCATAGGCATACTATTGATATATTAAGGTAAATAAGGTTTTTTTCAGATACAAGTCAATCTAATTAAAATATAGATCTCGAATTTCGTTATACTACGTTATACTACATATAACGTAGTATAACGAAATCCGAGATCTATATTTTAATTAGATTGAGATACAAGTGTCTGTGATATTTATATAAACGCGCGGTTGGGTTTACTGTTTCTTTTTTGGCAGCAAACTAAAAACCTCATATTCTCTTGTTCAGTTGAAAAATAATCAATAAAGTAAAATAGGATTTTTGTTGGTAAAATCCTTGTTCATGGAATATTTACACTTACCTGCTTCCCAACGGATAGCCAAAGAATGCTCGTGGTCACTTGAAACATACTCAAACTACTATGACATTACAGTCACATTCGTACCGTAAACGTTTTTTAATTGTTGCTTTAAAATGGTATATGTGTTGCTATGTTTTGCATCTTCTGCAGCAATAAACGAAAAACAAAATTAACAAATACACTGTAAAAGTCGTGCTTAGAAATTAAACACTTGTATTAAATGTTTAGATCTAAATGTGTTTAGGATTTTGTTTAATTTCTAAACACATTTCTCAGTAAGCACATAATATCTAAACATGTCTTGAATTTAAACACTTTTAATGTGTTAAAAAATGAAAGTGTTTAGAAATTAAACACTTTTTCTAAGCTAAACACGATTCTAAACACAATCCTAAACACATTGTACTGAGACACGTTTAGATCTAAACATGTAAAAAAAAGTGCACAAAAGATGTGCTTAGAAATGTGTTTAGGATCTAAACACCATTTTTACAGTGTAGACAGCAAACAACTTGACCAACAATAACCACTGGGTTATATAGAGGCTTTGGAACGTTGGACTATCAATCCCCGACTTCGATACTGACATTATGGCAAGCCGTTTTACTATTTATTCGAACTTCAAGATATCTCATATAATGTATAAGATATCTTATGTAATCTAGTTTTTATAAGATATCTTATAAACTTTATAGAAGATTAGAGGCGGATTTAGAGGGTTTTTCAGGGGGCCCGGCTCCCCCCCCCCCTTTGTGGGAAAAATTTGGTTGATTATATTGGGAATCACTGAAGCATGACTGGAGCGGGCCCCCTCTTAAGCAGTCAGAGGGCCCCCTCTTATGAAAATTTCTGGTTCCGCCACTGAAGATATCTGGGACTATTATCCTATGTAAGTATAATAGTCCCAGAAAATATCTCATATAGTCTATAAGATATCTTATATATGCTTTATACTTTATAAGATATCTTCTAAAGTTTATAAGATATCTTCTAAAGTTTATAAGATATCTTATAAAGTATATAAGATATCTTATAAATATTTTTTATATAAGATATCTTATATACTTTATACTTTATAAGATATCTTCTAAAGTTTATAAGATATCTTATAAAGTTTATAAGATATCTTATAAAGTATATAAGATATCTTATATACTTTATAAGATATCTCATATTTTATAACATATCTTAAGCTTATACAGAGACATATATACACATATATGTATATATGTCTCTGGCTTATACAGAAAATTATATGATATATCTTATAAATTATATCACGAAGACAGGGGCGGATCAAAAGGTGGGTTCCCAACCCTGGATAAAAAAGGGGGGTCCAACCATATGTCCCCATTCAAAAGCATTGATCGTAAAAAAAAAGGGGGGGTCCCCCCCCCCCCTTGTTCCACCACTGTATAAGATATCTTATAGAATAAATAGCAAAAGTTACGGCTTGCCATATGAAATGATTTATAACAAACCTTTCTCAAATTATCCGTTTAAAAATCTATATATGTTGCTTCTTCTTTGTAATTTGCATATTTTGACTAAAAGGTGTATTTAAGCGTTTTCGTAAACAAATTTTGTATGAAGCGTGGACCCAAAAGGCAAAGAATAAATGAAAACATGTGTTCAGAATAACAACTCCGTTTCGGACTTTTATTTGAGTTCTTGTTGATTTCATGATTAAAAAAAAAATCTATTGTTGGTAGGTGGTTGTAACGGTATTAAGACATTCCGCCGGGCTAAAGATGGCGGTGGTCGTTTGGATTTTTCTGCTAAATTTTCTTCTGTTGTCTAAATGTGCATTTTTATCACCTTTATACATCGATACAGTTATAAATGCGGTGGATAAAATGATAGAGTACTATAAGAACAATTATCAAGACCTGAATGTGGATGGATTGTTTGGTTTGAGAGTTATAGAGGGTTAGTCAGCAGCTGCTTCGACACGATCATACATAATTTTATCTGTATATTCATTCAGATAGGACAATTTGAAACTTGCATGAATAACAATAAAGTGTATATTTTATTATGCAACACAGGAAGCTAAATATAGTTAGAGAAGTAGTTCCTAAACATAATTTACAAAAAAAGGGCAATATTATCATGAGTATGCGGTACAATGACAATGTACCCCTATTTACCGAAAACACATTAAAAACCTGAACTGAGGTGTGGATCAAATGGTTTTCAAAAAGTTGGGCCCCTAGCAAGCCATTCGTTTGGAGTGATACTTGCAAAAAATCTATGCATTTATCATACATCATGTACATGGATATGAAAGAGTGGCGAAAAATACCAAAACCAAAGGGACATTCAAACTCATTATAAGTCGAAAATGAACTGACAGCGACATGGCTAATAAAGAACAGACAACATTAGTACACAAAACACTACATCAAAAACTAAAGACTGAGCAACATAAACCCCAACAAATATAAGGGGTGATCTCGAGTGCTCTGGAAGGGTAAGCAGATCCTGCTCCACATGTGGCACCCGTTGTGTTGCTCATTTAGTGCAAACCCGGTAATAAGTCTAATTTGGTAGGTCACATTCGGAAAAGGGGACGTGATTGTAGTTATGACATTTGGAACGTATCCGTGATTATCTGTTAAACAGATATTCCATAACGGGCGACCAACTTGTGATGATGGCGTCCTTAAAATTTGCAAATGGATGATTTTAACGTCACCACTTGTCAGGCAGGGTTGGCAAAAAAGCGGTCAATACTAGTATTGACCATGCCAGCGGTAAATACCGGGAAATACTGGCAAATACTGGTCGATTGAAATTTTGAGTGGACATTACTATAAAAACCACTCTCTACCTGGTCAATTACTTTTAGTAATGAAATAATGAAAGTGTTAAAGTCATTTTAAATGTTCTCATTTCTAATTTTATTGTAAATTTTTAATAAACAGTGATTTACAATGATTTATTTAGTACATAAGATAAAAATGATATCTTGATTGAAAAATGTTGTAATAATTAATTTGTCAATTCTTTATATATATCTAAAATATGCAATATCATAACTTATAAGGACTAAATTAGTAGGTAAAAGTGTTAAAAATGAATAAAACATATCAAATTCATTCATTTATATCAGCTGAAACATGCCAAATGATAAAAGTTTAAATATATCTTACTTTTTATCATTTTTTTACTTCAATAAATGGTAAAAACCACCATGGTCAATCGACCAGTATTTGCCAGTATTGACCACTTGAGGAGTATTATCTGGGGCGGTAAATACCGGTAAATACCAGGGGCGGTATTTACCGCCCAACCTTGCCACTTGTAACTCTTGATTTAATAGCTTCCTTGTGAGCAGCAACGTTCTATCAAGGAAATAATGATAGGAAATGCAAGCCCTGGAATATCGTATCAACTGGGAGATATATACTCCATATGCAGGCAATGAAGCTCCATAATCCGCTTCTGGATATTACCGGAACACTCTAATTTACATAGCATATAACTGCTTTTATTGATAATAAGGACTATAATTTTGAGATATATGTCACTTTCACTCTGCCATTGAAAAGTACAGTTAACTTCAGGAATTCAATTTACATGTACATGTACATGTTCATGTATGTGTCATTAATGCAAGGAAAGATATGAATTAAAATAGGTACAATGTACATGTACTGGCTATGATTAGGTTGAAAATTTAACATTAAAGAAAAATTGTTATGTTTAAGACTAACTGCTGGAATGAAATGATGGTCATGCTTGTTGGGAACTGACAGTTACATTGTTTAATATATTGGTTAATTATGTACTTTTTGCATGAATTCCAAAGGGACAACAATCCAAAGAATAAATTATTGTTTATTTTTTATTATTGTTTATTTTGACCTCAGTGGCAGATCCAGCAGGGGGCATAGAGGGCGTACGCCCCCCCTTTGCTTGAACTTTTTTTTTTTTTTTTTTGTAAAATGATGAATCAGACTAGACTTCGTGAACTTTGCCATTTCCTGGTCGTGTATTTAATTTTTATGCTACAATTCTTTACTTATAAAGATATTTTTCGCTCGTATTTACTGTAATATATTATTGATTATGTCAGTCATGTGTTTCGCAACGGTGGAGTTGATCAGTACGTTTGAAACGTCACTTAGTCATTTTGAAATTCAAATTACAGTAACACATTGCTTAGGCGGAGGATGACAAGCATGACGCCTTCAAGGTGACAAAGGATTGAGCAAGAACGTATTAACTTCTATTTCATATTTTCACTCAACAGAAAGTAATACTCTATTACACTCTCATGAAAAAAAAAAGTTCCACGGCAATATTATTTACCTACGAAAATATGTTTAACCCCACACGCCCCAGCCAATAAATTACATTGCTGAATAATGATCCCCAGTCAGTAAGCTCTAGATAAAGTCTAGAGTACGGACCATTTGATTTGATAGGGCAGTCTGAGATATTTTAGAGAAAAAATTCTGACCCTGATTTTTGCCTTAAACAAAAATTCTAGACGTATCTGTAATGAAAACAATTATCGTGTCCCCTTTTTTGCTATAAGAAAAAAAAAACCAACAGAGTTATTCAGTATTAAATGAACATGGTGAATAAAAAACGGGCGTAATTTTTTTTGGGGGGTGGGGGTGGTTTGCATGTAAATCCCATATCTGACCAGAATGTCTGTTTCGCCAACTGATATACTGAATACTTTTTTCAAGGCCCAACTGCAACCTACCTGCTGGGTGTGGCCTTTATGTCTCCATTTGTCGGCCGTCATTCACAACTTCGTTGTCATTTGATTTTTAGACTCATTCGTAGCCGTTGGTTGATTTGGAACCCCTCACTCCCCTTGTTGAGTGAAACATTTCAACCAAACATTTGGATAAAAATTGCTTGTTTGTCTTTGTTCGTGTCGGTCGTATAATAAACTTCATTAAATAGCCGTATATCATGTTTACAACAAGTAATCTGTGAGGTTATGCTAACTAACCATACAACAAACGCGAATTTTCCATGTCCATCTTTACTGACAAATCCCACATCAAATATATTAGTACATAGCTTTAGATCCATTCAATCATTTTATAATAGACAACTAATGGGGAGAATGCGGCATCAGAAATGTCCAACCCAAGCTTACACTTTAACTATAATATATACATACCCCACGTTAGGAACCGTCACTAAAAATGTACATTTTACACTTATTTTATGTTTTGTAGCCCAAAAAGGTCCAAAAAAATTTTCCCCTCGCTCCACTTGGCGAATTAAACATACTACGCCCCCCCCCCTTTTCCAAAATCCTGGATCCGCCCCTGGACCTAATGAGAGACTTACATGTATTAAGATCATGTAATTGTTAAAAAGCTAAGGTTGCTATTCTCTCTGGCAATGTTGATCATACACTTGTCTTTATAGTTTCATTTTTATATTAATGGCTATCTATGAAATTAGTAGCAGATCTTTAATTGTCTCTGTTCAAATTTTCACAATTTTAAAATTTTCTGAGCAATTCAAGCTTGATTTAATTTATCTGAGGCATTGTCTGGGTTCATTTTTGCTTTTGTTGTCAATGTTTATTTTATATATAAAATGTCTAGATAAAAGTCAACGATCATTCTTACAAGGGCATTGGATTGTTATGAAAAATGATACTGTACACAATAAATAAATTTAATGTACATGTACATCAAAAAGGTGTATTACATCACAAAATTGAAAATAGAAGTAAATTCGGATTAACAAATATTCTTCATCAGTATGAACAGCCTGATGTAAACTGGTGTCTTAATCTATGCTGATTTAAGAAATCTTGAACACACTTGTAATGCAAATTAAAAGCCAAACATCTTTTGAAGAAAATTAAAACTTCTAGCCATTTTAAAATCTTGATATTCATGCTAATTAAGTAAAGGTAGGATTGCATATTTATGCTTCCCAAATGAAACAACACATCCAGCTGTGGTTAGCACTGCACAATATACATTTTATACATGTTTTATACATGTATAATAAAAAAAGTTTTAAATGATACAATTGTCTGCAAATATGTAATGCATTTTTATGTTTCAGGTCATTTAGCAGCAATAATTGTGAAAGTTGAAAATGGTACAATAAGACAAGTAAAACCTAATATGATAGAGAAATTAAAATCTATGAAGACTGTGTCAACAAAAACCTGTGAAGATGCTCTAGATTTTGTTAGAAAGGATGATGAAGAATATTTTCAATCTATGCAGTTTCTTCTGGGTAATCCTTGGTCTTTGCATAAGGACTACAAACATTTACAATTCCAGTTACTGTGGGACCAACAAGTCTATAAAAAAAGTTCTGTATGTAAGTATTTGTTCAAAGCTATGCATTTATTAAACTTCATGACACTATTGCACTGTTTTGAAAAATACAAAGTAATTCGTTACATAGCAACACTTACAGTACTAACATGCATGCATGTAAATCTTTTTATACATATATATGAAAAGGTATATAATATACAAGATGGAACATATAATATTAAAAAAAAATCAGTTGATTTTAGCATAATTTTGCTATTAACATTATTTTCTTCCTTTACTATTACGATGTACATGTATAATGAATTTAAAAATTCCTAACCATTTTTATGCCCCTGCCGTGGCGGAGGGGACATTAATTGTTACCCTTGTCCAACTGTACGTCTGTCTTATGTACGTTCCAAAATTAGTTTCCGTCCTCTAACTTTAGTTTGTCTCCACCTTATGTTATGAAACTTATACACAATGCTTATTACCACAACACACAGATCAAGTTCAAGTTTCGGGGGCATCACTTTTACTGTTCTAGAGTTATACCCCTTTATAAATGGAAAATTGCTGAATTTTTCGTTTCTGTTCTGTAACTTTAGTTTGCCTCAAACCAAATGTTATGAAACTTATACACAATGCTTATTACCATAAACACAGATCAAGTTCAAATTTGGGTGGGGTCACTTTTACAGTTCTCTAGTTATGTCCCTTTATAACGTTATATGCAAGCAGGGGTATCATCTGTGTCCCATATGCACGGACCCATTCTCCATTTTTCTTTTGAAATTGGATTTTTTTTTTTTTTTTTATTTTACTTGTATTATTACTTTCAGCTTCTTTAAATGAGAAAGAGTCAGATAAATGTATGATGGAGATAATGGGGTACCAGCCATCAAAGAAGAAGTGTGGTGTCAGTTACTTCTGTATAGAACTGATGACAAGGAAAGGGTTGACAGGATATGGTATAACTCATCAAATGTTATGGACCATGCTATCTGAACAGGTATTATATAAAATCCACAAACTTAAGGATGTACTTAGGTGAAATTAAAAAAATCTAGAACTTAAAATTGAAACTATAAGTCAGAAGAACATTAGTTAAGGAACAAAATAAGCTAAAATATTGATAGGTTATGGAACTCCTTTTTGAGATATTTGATTTTTAAAAAATGGCAGGAAAAGCCTGACTCAGGCTTTTACCTTGTATTTAGCATTGGCATTAATAGGGTCTCAAATTGTAAGAAAAAAATTTAGAATCTGCTTAAATTTTGGTAATGACCTTTTTATGAGCTATTGAAGTCTTCTATGAAAAGAAAAGTGGGTGATATGGGGCAAAATATTTTACCCTGTATCATAGGAAAAAACCCAAGAATTCTGAACATCTAACAAAAATTCATAAACCTCACCTGAATACATCCTTAAAAGCATTGATTTCTATGCCCTTTATAAATGTTTCTGGAGCACATACAATTTTTATTGTAGATTGAACTGTAAAAGAGAACAGCAACCAACCATAAAACTAAAAAAAAAAGCACCAAGAGGTCAAAATAAAACTGTCATCTATAAAGATAGATGTTTATACCTTTTATTAAAACTTAAATGTACCAAAACTAGGCAAGTGCAAATTAATTAATGTTTAATAGTGTCAGTATAGTTCTTCAATTGTTCAGCATTATTTTGATTACATTTTCTTTAGTTTTTTAAATTTGGGGAGTTGATGTCTTACAGGCAAATCTGAAATGCAGTTTAAAGAAATATAAAAAGTTCGCATAAAAAACTATCAAAACATTTTTGTGCAATATTACATTAGAAAGAGCACAAACACCTATTTTGACCATGTTTTCCTTCCAACAAAACTATGGGGAAACTATTGATTTTTTTTACAGGCTGGATGTTATGAGGAACTATCTCATTTACTTGTAACAAATGGTCGAGGACAGACACATAATATACAGTTAGAGTTCTGTACTAACAATTACCTAGAGATGATGCATATTGTTCATGGGACTCTGAAAGGTCAAATCATTCCAAGGTTTCAGGATTTATTTATGGAACAGCGTAAGTTGGTAATCAAAAATGATTTTCCTGATAATTTGAATTTTCATTCCTCTAATAATATTAAGTAGTAAAATGATGAATTATCTATATGACAAGATTTTACAAAGTTTATGATGGTTTCTAATGCTATGAAAGAATTATCACTAGTTCATATATTTTGAAATGAAATTGTTGTTTTGGTCTGAATTCTCTTTATAAAGATAGATCTATAAATTATTATTGTTCAGTCTTTCGGTAAATATTCAAATACACCTACTGCATATCTTCAGTGCTGTACAGACATTTCTCTTATGATCAGTTAAGATCTGTTCTGTCTATATCAAGGGTTTTCAAAAGCTGTTATTTATCTATGCATGAACAGTGATGGAAAACTGTTGAATTTACTGGCAGGACAATATCTGAAAATATCGTAAAATCTTAACAAGACAACATTTTGAAAGCATGTGTTCAGGTAAAAATAGTTGTTTTAGACTAAATTTAAGTTACTAGATAATGAATAGAAATTATCTTATACAATATAACAATAAATTGTTATGATGTCTTTTTATTTAACATAAACCTTGACCTTATGATTTCACTAGTTAACAGCTTCTGATGTTAATTAGTAGGCCAGTTTTTTTTTATTACTTAAATTTGTAATATTAAGATGTGAATTCTAGTTATTATTTTTTTGACCATTTTAAATTTAAAAAATGACATTCTCTTTGTTCCTCTTAGTCTTCAATTATCATTTGCTTGGTCTATGTATCTTTCAGAATTTGTTTGTCCAAGCCTTGGATTTTACCAGTTTTTATCAGATGACTTTTTGGATCAGATTTTATCGTGGCAAAAAGATGTGGGTTGTTATGGTATCATGAAGAAAGTTGAACAAAAACCAGCAGGTTTAAAAAAATATTTAGGTTCAACGAGTTATGATTATGAAGATGGCCCTGTTCATAAACTGTTAAAATTTCAAGGAAAACTTACTCAGAATATAACAAAATTTGGTAAAAATACTGTTAATGTGCAACCACCTGTGTTGAATTTAGCAGGAGATTTAAATACTAATAAAAATCTTGGGAATGTTCAAATGACAAACAATGTGGTCATACAGAATGGACCAGATTTAGTGGCTAAAGGTAGTGAAAATGTTGTAAAGTCATTTTCACAACAAAACTTAGAGAAATCTGGTATTGAACAGAAATCAGTATTACCTGGACAGAGGAGGCTTCTAGCGGAAAAGGAAATGGAGAGTATGTATTTTTAAGAACTGATTAATGAATTGTTAATTGTTCCTTTTTTATAAGTTAAAGAGCTTTTTTACACAATTTTTATACACCTTAGTATATCCTCCTGCAAGTTCTTCTCTAGGGCATTTTACTGACTTCTGATTAAGTGCCTTAGACAATATTCTATCTCATTCCTGGAACAATTTTATTTTAAAATCATTGCAATGGGTTTATCTTGCACTCGTGGCACAACTGTTTATGATACTAAATTCAAAGTGCTGTAAATGTTCCTATAATTATACAAGTCTATGGTTAATTTGTATATTGCATTTAAAATCTGCTAGAGATGAGTAATTGCTATCTGATACATATTTATTATCTGAAAACAGTGAGAAACAAGAACTTTTCTTCAATACAAGGAATCTATATGTATGTTTTGTTGAACTTCACAGCAGAGAACTTTAAAAAAAATCAGTATAAAGAGAAACAATTTATCATACACTTTACTTAGTCGCCCTGAGAATGTAGAGTTTCAATAAACATAAATCATCTGTTTAACGCTTTTTTCCTTGGCAACCTCAACGATGGATTATGATGTCATAGCATTCTCTTTCTACAGGACTGTTGCATATGTCCAACATGCTTCATACAGTAATACATATATAAGTAAAACATTTCTATTGTAGATGGATGTTTGGCTCATAAAACTGCAGTAGCAGCAGGTGCTTTAATGATCTATCTACGTTACTTACTATTACCTGGACCTAAAACATTGGCAGAAAATACCAAAGAAATGCTGCAACAAAGACATTTACTTAATATCAACGATAGTGGTGTTGATAAGTTTGATTATAAAGGAGCACAAGATGGCAATTTAGTAAAAGGACTAGCTATGAACAACAATGTGTTAGCTGCTCAAATAAATGATAATAATAAAGATGATGATTATTATGCTGATGAGAATGATGAAAATGAAGATGAAGATGAAGAAGATGATGAAAAGGGAGGCAATAAAAATGTACAGTTTGATGATCATCAAAATGAGGAAAATGGATATGAAGGTGATTACGATGAAAATAAAAAAGAAAAAAATCTTAAGGTGAAAAACCTTGCAGACAAGGTGGAAAAAAAAGTGGTGCCAAAACCAGACGATACAGACTATACTTACTATGAAGATAAAAATAAACATGATGATTATACAAATGATGAGTATGATGAAAAAGATGTCAATGTTGAAAAGGACAACAAAGATAGTGCAAGTGATAAAATAAAAGTCAAATTGATCAATGAATCAAAAGCTGAAGGAGAGTATCCTCTAAGCAGTACACATTCGCCAAGTGGTGTATATCTTATTATTTCATGTACTATTTTTGTTTTGATGATATTAATGTATAGATTTTTAAAGAAGAGAAGAGTGCATATAAGATACAATTATAAATCCTTTAACAGAGTGTAAAAACTATTTACAGTTGCTTTTGTTTATGGCTTTAGTATTTCTTTTAATCATGTGACTGAAGACTATTATATTTATTTGAGATTTTATATATATATATATTATAAGTATCCATTGTTATGAAATCCCTTTTTCCAGTGCTGTTGTTGTTTTAAGCTTACTTTTTATTGATGTATGTTCAGCTGTGTAAATAATTAGAACTAGCAGCTTGTAGTATGATAGTTTGTAATTTATATATCTGCATAAATTCAGGGGTCACCAACAGAGGCGAAGAAAGCAACTTTGTCACCCTAGGATTCCTGACTTCACTATAAAGAAGCTCCAGGGAGAAGTTTTATGTCCCCTTGTTTTTCAGTAAAATTCCCCAATATCGCACGGTGATTTTTGAAAAATTCTGATCCAAATGCAACATATCTTTAGGAATATGGTTTATTGTCGAGCCTGCGACTTTTGTCGCAGAAAGCTCGACATAGGGATAGTGATCTGGCGGCGGCGGCGGCGTTAGCTAACTTCTTAAAAGCTTTATATTTTAGATGGTGGAAGACCTGGATGCTTCATACTTTGTATATGGATGCCTCATGTTACGAAGTTTCCGTCAGTCACATGTCCAATGTCCTTGACCTCATTTTCATGGTTCAGTGACTACTTGAAAAAAAAGTTAAGATTTTTTGTAATGTTAAATTCTCTCTTATTATAAGTAATAGGATAACTATATTTGGTATGTGCGTACCTTGTAAGGTCCTCATGCCCGTTAGACAGTTTTCACTTGACCTCGACCTCATTTCATGGATCAGTGAACAAGGTTAAGTTTTCGTGGTCAAGTCCATATCTCAGATACTATAAGCAATAGGTCTAGTATATTCGGTGTATGGAAGGACTGTAAGGTGTACATGTCCAACTGGCAGGTGTCATCTGACCTTGACCTCATTTTCATGGTTCAGTGGTTATAGTTAAGTTTTTGTGTTTTGGTCTGTTTTTCTTATACTGTATGCAATAGGTCTACTATATTTGGTGTATGGAAGGATTGTAAGGTGTACATGTATAGCTGGCAGGTGTCATCTGACCTTGACCTCATTTTCATGGTTCAGTGGTTATAGTTGAGTTTTTGTGTTTTGGTCTGTTTTTCTTATACTGTATGCAATAGGTCTACTATATTTGGTGTATGGAAGGATTGTAAGGTGTACATGTATAGCTGGCAGGTGTCATCTGACCTTGACCTCATTTTCATGGTTCAGTGGTTATAGTTGAGTTTTTGTGTTTTGGTCTGTTTTTCTTATACTGTATGCAATAGGTCTACAATATTTGGTGTATGGAAGGATTGTAAGGTGTACATGTCTAGCGGGCAGGTGTCATCTGACCTTGACCTCATTTTCATGGTTCAGTGGTTATAGTTGAGTTTTTGTGTTTTGGTCTGTTTTTCTTATACTGTATGCAATAGGTCTACAATATTTGGTGTATGGAATGATTGTAAGGTGTACATGTCTAGCGGGCAGGTGTCATCTGACCTTGACCTCATTTTCATGGTTCAGTGGTCAAAGTTAAGTTTTTGAGTTTTGGTCTTTTTTTCTAATACTGCATGTAATAGGTCTACTATATTTGGTGTATGGAATGATTGTAAGGTGTACATGTCTAGCTGGCAGGTGTCATCTGACCTTGACCTCATTTTCATGGTTCAGTGGTCAGTGTTAAGTTTTTGTGTTTTGGTCTGTTTTTCTTAAACTATAAGCAAAAGGTCAACCATATTTTTGTATGGAAGAATTATTAGCTGTACATGCCTGCCTAGCATGGTTCATCTGACCTTGACCTCATTTTCATGGTTCATTGGTCAATGTTTAGTTTACTTGGTTAATGTTAAGTTTATGTGACAGTTGTAATAAAGCTTTATATTTAGGACTATCAACATAATATCAATGATTAGTAAAGAAGGCGAGACATTTCAGCGTGTGCACTCTTGTATTAAAATTGAGAATGGAAATGGGGAATGTGTCAAAGAGACAACAACCCGACCAAAGAGTATAAAACAGCCCAAGGCCACCAATGGGTCTTTACATGTTAGTTGGTAAAGAAAGTAAATAAAGACTTACAGAAATAAAAACAAGGAAAAAGGATTGAGGAATGCGTTTAAACATATATATTGAAAAAACACCACACACATAGGGAATTTTTTATTCTTGCTATTTCAACCTCCTTTAAAGTAGGTGTTCAAGGCAACCTTTGGACATACAATCCATATCACTTTCATATCTATTTGAACTAGTTTTACTTACATTATTGACTTACAAATATATATTTCTTACTTCCAATTATTGTCCAGCATCCAGTATGACCAATTTTTCCAATTTATATCAGCAAAGGTCTTGATCCTTTAAAAGATGTTTAGATTATCAATTATATCTGGTGATGTTGTCTTCCACTGTGAAGCATAGCTTTTCATCTCTGGTACCCATACTGAGTTTGAATTAGCATATTTGTCAGTCACACAGCTGAAGTTTTCTTAATGCTTCTACCTTTGTGATTTGTCAAAATAAGCAAATGCTATTGAAATTTGTTTCTAGAGTTGTTTTTATTTACATTGTTAATAAAAAATATAAACGATAAGCCATGGTTTAATTACTTTACACACATAACATACAATGTATGTTTTATATGAATATATCTTTGTATGTTTATCTTTCATTAGTGTTTAGCAATCTTTTAATTTTCAAGCCATATTTTAGACATTATTTTAACTGACGTTTTCTCTTATAATTACACACATACTACTTTTGTCATTGTATCCATTAAAATTGAGATCAAATTCACTGCCAGAAGAGAAAAAGTAGAAAAATAAATCTTCAGAATCCCATCCTTCTATGTCGTTTTTACATGGTCAAAAACATAAGTATGCAATGGGCCTTGAAGTTTATTAAAACAATTATGTATTGCATGTTCACAATTCTTAAAAATTGTTCACTAATATTTTGTTAGAGGTAAAAAAAATGAAGGATTTAATGTAAAAAGCAGTATATAGTAGTGTAGTAGACTTGGACTCACATTTAAGTGTGTTGCTCTCTCTGACGTGTGATGGTATGAAGTATAGTGCTGGGTGCACTGAAGTACAGTTGAAATATTTAGTATTACCGCTAGAACCATTGTATTTGCATGTCAAATTTTATATTTTGTCTCCTTTGTACCTTTATTCATTGTTTTATAGCATAACATTTGTTGTTTCATTTTGAAGTTAACTATTTAAAGCTATGCTACAGTTTGTTTGTGCGAACACTTTTATGAGATGTATTACTATAAACATGTAAAAAATTTCATTACTCTATTGGTCTGTTTGACATTTTGTGTGAAATAGGAATAGATGAATCAATATTTTTAGATTACATGTTTTGGTTCAAATTGATGTCTATTTCTTATTTTAAATGAAGGAGACATTTTAATAGAAATAGTATGAAAACATAAATTTGACATTTTTATAATCAAGTCACAGTAAGACTCTTCAACAAGTCATTATAGCTATGTGTTGTATTATAAATTACTGTAGGTCTTTATCCTGTAAGGGTATATTAGTTGTCAGTGTCTTTAATTGGAAAATACTAAAAAAAATTAATCCAGCAGACAGGGTTAGTTGATATAAATTGCCTAGAGTAGGCAAAATAATTAAAATAATAAATCCAGGGGACAGGGTAAGATAAGATCAAAGAGAAAATAGATTGAGTCAGGAACCAACACAAAAATACAAAAGCAAGGCCCTAATAAATTATAACAGATTTTAGATTAATGAATGTGATTTTATAATTGTTCAGTTGTTGTGCTTTATAAAACCAGTGGTAAATATAATTTAAGTATTCTGGTAAAGCATTAAAAATAAATTGTCCTCTCTGAAAAAATGGAAAATAAATTTTTTTTTAAATTTCAAGTGTAATATGAAAGAAATACAGAATGTTGGATACAGACTAGAAGTTAAGCTTTTTAAAGCAGACCCCACTCAATTTTGTCTTTTAAGATAAAAACTTCAACAACTTATTTAAGAACAACTTTCAACATAGGAAGATGTGTATACATAGCATAATTTGATTGGATAGCTTTGCATTTATAATAAACTGTGTGGTTTTTATGTTGCCACTATCATTATCAGTGCTCTGCATTTTTCGAATAATATTTTGTTTATGTAATTGCTTAAAGCATTATCTATTAATATTCTTTTTTTCTCATTTTGAAAAGTTTTTTTATGTACAAAAAGATGATTGCATGCTTTACTGAAATATGAATGTCAACATAACAGATAAGTAAAGATGTACCATCTAGCATCTGCAAAAGTACCATGGAATAGGTCATTATAATTCAAAGTGATCAGTGTCCATATTATTCTACAAATCCTGTAAATTATTCCTGTAGTGATACCTTTTAAGCAGATAGGCAGCAATGCATGTAATCGTTTTCAAATGTTAATGTTTTAGACATTGCCATGACATGTTATTTACTCCACTCTAGTCAACATAAGTATGTATTAAATTATTGAGCAAAGCATATATTTATTATCAGCAATAATGAGACATTTGTATTAGGACTATCTATTGTATTTTATATGATGCACCTGCCATTTAGCTGAAGCATATGGTGTGGTAAGGGCCTCATTTGGCCTAATTTAACACTGAAATCATCTTTTTACTTTGTTAAGATTTCATTTATGTCTTTTTTACAGTTAAGATTATGCAAAACAAAAACTAAACCAGGTAATAAGGTAATAAGTTATCAATGTGGTCACTATAGATGTAGCATTGATGGCATAGAAAATATGCTCCTTAGCAATTTTGGTGAAAATGCACAGATTTTGGTCTATTTTTCAAATGATTTGGAATCTGAAAATTTTGAGTGCATGTTAGAACAAATGAAATACTTAGATACAGAATTTTCAATATGGACAACACCTTTGTTAAATATGTACCCAGATTTAGCACATTACATTTTGACCTAACACATTGTCTTTGTTAGTTCGATGGTTATGGTGAAAATTATCATGTCAGATTTTGTTAATAGTTTTGTTTGATAAATCTGTTAACTTTTCTAAACTTGTTAATTTACAATTTTTTTTACAGTGCTGCTGCTGTATCTGCTATCAGATGAGAAATTATTCTTGTGATCATATAAACAGACTTGTCACATATATTTCTCATTTTTTGTTATTACACCTTTTTTTCCTTTTTGTTATTACACATTTTTTTCCCTTTTTGTTATTACACATTTTTTCATTATTATGTTTATTCACTGCTTGTGAATTAAAAACTGCAGCATTATGTGTTATTATCACACAGATTTATTAATTGAAAGTTACAAAAGATTCTTATCATATTCTTACTATCATTATGTTTTCATCTGTCAGAACTGCAGGCTGCTTTTTGGCAAAAAAATTCAAAGCCACTAAGGGACATTTTAATGCCATTATTATAGCTCATTTTAGCGCTGAACGAATTCAATCACTGGTATTTTGGAAACCCATTTTTAGCAAACTTGACCCAGTTGCACTTATGAATTAATAACAAAATTTATATTGGATTACCTTAAAAATTCTTTCAATTTTTATTTCAAACTGGTTCAAATTGAAGAATATGTTTGATGAAGAAACCAAGAAAAAATTGTATCGTCCCTTATGTAAATCTATACTGTTATCACATTAATAAAAGAAAAAGCATGCTAGATGTTCAGTAAAGATGCTTATATTTGAACTGCAAATGAATCTGCTGATATTTACAGTTTTGAAAAGGATGGAAACCAAGTAGATGAATGATTTTATTGAAAAAGATACTTTTCAAACTCATTTTAATATTGTGCTGTTTAAACTCATTTTAATATTGTGCTGTTTAAACTCATTTTAATATTGTTCTGTTTAAACTCATTTTAATATTGTGCTGTTTTGACATTAAAATCTATCATTATACTAGAGTTTTATGTAATATATAAGTGAAAACGGATAACATTTCTGCAGCTGAAATGGGCTCTGATAATTTGAATTTTGATTTTTTGGCCAAAATAAGATAAAAATCTGGTGCTAAAATGGGTTCCAACTTTGGCTCCTAAACGTTGGATATTTTTGCTCAGATGTCTTATTTATTTTTTTAAATGTCCTACAACATTCAGAACTCATTATCATTGTGTTAACATCAATTAAACCACATTCTTGCATGTTTTTTTTTATTTAATATGTATAACTTGCCAACTTTTTATACGACCGCAAAAAATTTTGCGATCGTATATTGGTATCATGTCATCAGCGTCGTCGTTGTCAGCGTTGTCCGAAGACATTTCGTTTCCGGACAATAACTTTAGTAAATGTAAATAGAAATCTATGAAATTTAAACACAAGGTTTATAACCACAAAAGGAAGGTTGGGATTGATTTTGGGGGTTATAGTCCTAACAGTTTAGGAATTAGGGGCCAAAAAGAGGCCCAAATAAGCATTTTTCTAGTTTCCAGACAATAACTTGTGGAACGGTGTATGGATCTCTCTGAAATTATACCACAAGTTTCCATACTACAAAGGGATGGTTAGGATTTGCTTTGGGGGGTTATGGCTCAAACCATTTAGAAAAAAAAGGGGAAAACAAGGGTTTCCTGGTTAATGGACATTTAAAAAAGTACAATGTTATGTTTGGATTACCTCCCTTACACTGCTTTTAAATTATGTATAAAGAAATGTTGTATTGTCTTGAGTTGATTAGCTGTCAATTTATTTTTTGAAGTTACTATTTAAATATGCTGATTGAGGAATATTAATTTTAGCCATGATTATGTATGTCATTTTCTATTTTAAGACTTTTATGATGTATTTAAATGGGTAATTTTGGTTGCAAACTCCATTGGAAATTTGAATTGAGACTATGACCATATCTTAAGGGAATGATTTTTTTTGGGGAAAAAAGGTGGGGGGAGGGGGGGTAAAAAAGAAATTGTGAGGGAGGGGCAATTTTTTCTCATTTCAGATCAGATTTCAGAAATTAAAAAGAAAATTTCTTCAAATATTTTTTTTTTGGGGGGGGGGGGGGTGTTCAATTTGCAACAGCATAGTGTATTGCACAAAAGCAAAAAAATTAATATAAATTCAAATCATATAACCAATTCTAAGTTCTTTGACTACAGTTATTCTGTGTCAGAAACCTATTATGTGTCAAATGTTTAATAACAATCCAAATTCAGACCTGTATCAAGCGCGAATATTGTGTCCATTTTTGCCCCAACTGTTCAGGGTTGGACCTCTGCAGTCTAATCCAGCTGCGATCAGCGAAGCAATTTATTTATGTTGATATTACAATACATTTAGGAGAAACTTACTGACTGTGCCGAAAGTTTGACCTTGGAAATCCATTTCATATGAGGGCTGATATATTTAAACCTACATGCCATCAAGCAGGGAACTTAGTATGAAGATTTATTGATATGGAATCCCAAGTTTTCAGGGTGAGGTTTGCTCTTTTCTTATCTCATTTTTACTGCGATAATGGCTTTTAAAGTTCTGTATTAAAACTCCTTTAAAACAATGGGATATTATTTGTTGCATGAATTATGCATGTATTTATAACCTATATCATTAAATACCAAGCTTTTTCCTTGCTAAGAAAAGTGCTCAACTATCACATCCCATTCCCACCTGTATTTTATGTCCTTTATCACATTATTTTGTATCACTTTCCTTTTAGAACCACAAGACATGTTGTATCAACATGTTTGCTACTCAGTTTGATTTAGCATCTCATTTTAAAAAATCATTTATTAGTACTGTATTATTGTATTAATTATTTTTATAGGGATAAATAATGAGGTTGAGGGAGAAAAGGATCAAAGACCTGACCTATTTATTTATAGAAATCTTTTCCTGTTTATTTTACATAATAATCTTTTCCTATTTTATTGGATATTGTTAATAGAGAAGTTTTAGTTGGGTTTTCAAAAAGAAAAAAAATGTGGGATTTTCTCAGTAAAGAAATTATTCTGGGTTGTTATAAACGGAGTTATACCACTATTGTTTTCCCCTTTTAGTCTTTGTTAAATTGGCATTTTCTAAAAATTGTGTAGAATTTTTTTTAAATAAAGGAATACTTGGCATGAATAAATATCCTGTCCAATACTACAGTGAAAACTTCACATAACATTTCATTGCATTAAATCAGCAATTCCAAATAAACTGATAATTTTTAGAATGCTGGGAGAATTTTTGAGAGGCAAATGATTCATTAAAACTAATAAATACCTTGTTAGGAATAAAAAAAATTTAATAACTCTGAGTCTCGTAAAAGTCATTTTGCAAGATTTGAATAACTAACTGCATCATAAATTTGTTGAGATAAATATAAAATATTAAATCATTTCAGGGTTGGAGTTATAATAATAATAATCAGCATAATGTCAATCGTGGTCCACAAGGACAAGTCAATTATCTGATCAAATTTTATTTTATAAATACCAGTGTTGCAGTGGTAGACATTAAATTAATTTTCATATTTCCTTCTCATCATGGTCTAAGTTTGTTGTATATATGATAAAAATCAACAATCAATCCAATCAAAACATGAAAATATGGTATCACAACTATCTGTTTATATTTTTCATTATTAGCTCACCTGGCCCAAAGGGAAAGTGAGCTTTTCTCATCACTTGGCGTCCGTCGTCCGTCGTTAGCCTTTTTCAAAAATCTTCTCCTCTGAAACCACTGGGCCAAATTTAACCAAACTTGGCCACAATCATCATTAGGGTATCTAGTTTAAAAATGTGTCCGATGACCACGCCAACCAACCAAGATGGTGGCCATGGCTAAAAATAGAACATAGGGGTAAAATGTAGATTTTAGCTTATATCTCTGAAACCAAAGCATTTAGAGTAAATCTGACGTAGGGTTAAACTGATTGTCAGGTCAAGATCTATCTGCCCCGAAATTTTCAGACAAATCTGACAACCTGTTGTTGGGTTGCTGCCCCTGAATTGGTAATTTTAAGGAAATTTTGCAGTTTTTGGTTATTATCTTGAATATTATTATAGATAGAGATAAACTGTAAACAGCAATAATGTTCAACAAAGTAAGATCTACAAATAAGTCATCGTGACCAAAATTGTCAGTCGACCCCTTTAGGAGTTATTGCCCTTTATAGTCAATTTTAACAATTTTTCGTTAATTTTTGTAATCTTTTACAAAAATCTTCTTCTCTGAAACTACTGAGACAAATTTAACCATACTTGGCCATAATCATTATTAGGGTATCTAGTTTAAAAAATTTGTCCGATGACCCCGCCTTCCAACCATCTTGGCCGACTTGGTTAAACGTAGAACATAGGGGTAAAATGCAGTTTTTGGTTTATATCTCTGAAACTAAAGCATTTAGAGCAAATCTGACAGGTGGCAAAAATGTTCATCAGATTTAGATTTATCTGCCCTGAAATTTTTACAGAATCTGACAACCTGTTGTTGGGTTGCTGCCCCTGAGTTAGTAATTTTACTATTAATTATGATTTTAACCTTATTTTACATGATTTCCAAAGCATCAGTAAATACAGGTGAGCGACACAGGCTCTTGAGAGCCTCTAGTTTATTTTATATAATGTGCTGAATGGTTAAAAGAAACTTTTAAGCATGCTATGTTTTTACTGTCTTGTTTGATATTTTAGATCTTTACTGAATATTATTTTTTACAAAAGGAAATTACAATAATTGATTACAATTTGTATTATTTTCTAGCTCCTAACAGTTTTAAATATTCTTCAGGGATTTGAACAATTTCTTTACACATATATCTCATATCCAACTTGTTTTATAGCAAGTAATTATAACATTGATATTTCGTACGGTAGCAATACTCTACTTAATTTAGAGCAACCAAGACTTGCCATTTTCATTATGTTTGAATAACATTTTTATTCATATGTAATTTCATGTTCAAGATCCATTTCATGACATTTTTTTAGCAATACATTGCTGTTACTATCCAAATCAAATCTGACCTCATATGGGTAGATCAGATTTATGTTTGTTTTATCTTAATTGAACATGTTATAAGATGTTTCTGGTCTTGATAATATTATTTTCTGGTAAGACATTTTTGAATACATTTGGTAATTTTGCTTGGTTGTATTTTTTTGCACTGCCATGAAAGTGTAAGGACTCGTATTTGTACATCCACCTAGGTGAAGCCCTTACATTTTAATAGCACTCACCTACAGGACCAAAATTCAAAAAATGTATGTCCACAACACACATCAATTTCTGACTTTATGGTAGGTGTATTGTTTTATTTAAGAAAATTTCAGTATCATCAGTCCAACAAAGCCTCAAATATTTATATCATACACAGTTTTTAGACAGTTTTCCTTCTTTTAAATTTTGCATTGTTTTTAGTATTGTGAATAGTATAATACGATGGATAGTTTTCATAGTTTAAAATTAAATATGGAATATTGTATAATAAAAGTTGCTAAAACATTATTTGATTATTGTAATTAAAGGAAATAGAAAACAAAAACTTTAGAAATTGCAGATTTAAAAGGGGAAAAGGGGGTGTTGTTGTAAAAGTTTTTTATTTTTCTGTTTTTGTAAATGTAATAAGCGGGCAAAATATGTGATTAAGATCTGTTACTTTGTGATATTTGTTATTAATAGTGATCTACGAAAATTAATGTAGTTGTTTTCCTACTGTTAATTCTGAACTATTTTACTTTGGTGCTCATTATGCAGATGAAATTAAGTTATACACTTACATTGTTTTGTAAACATTTTATTAATAAATTTTTTTTCAATGTGTTATTTCAGAAAAGAAATTGATGCATGTCCATAAACATATGAAAAAGTAATAGTGTACTGTAGATTTTATACAATTAAATTTTAGTCAGTGTTGAAAACTTTTATGTTTCTTTATATATGTATTTATTGAAAACAAAATGGAAATAAAACAAGTA